CCTGTTTTGCATCAATAAATTAAGATGCTCATTTGGGTCCTGAAGTTTGCTGGTTCCTGTCAGTGGAGACGTTGGCAAAAGCCCTGAAGCCGAGATTCAGCCTTTACTTAAAAAAAATAAAAAATAAATAAAAATAAAAATAAACCCCTCAGCTGGCCGCCCTGCTGGGGCCAGGTGACGTGCGAGATTCCACAGCCTGCGGGCCTCGCAGCAGGGATGTTAGGGACGGTCTGAGGTTCCCTGGTCCTGTTTTGGTTTTGTTTGTAAAGGGCTTCTCAGAGAGATGCTCCTGATTTTTTTCTTTTTTTTTTTTTTAATAGACTTTCCCCTCCTATCCTAGGCTCAACTCCGAAAGGATTGGATTGCGAGTTTGCACGTGAGAAAACCGTTTGGCTTGGCTTAGACCCCTGCCGCCCCCCAACCCCCTCCACACACACCCCATCCAGGGGTCCCCTTTATCACCCTCTGCTTGCAACTCTCAAAGAAGTTGCCCACCTCCTGCGTAACGACACAGGGTCGAAATAATTCCTCTAGATGAAAGATCAATTCCATTTCAAAAACGAGAATAGGTTCCTTTTTTTATTTTCTCCACATGGTACAAAATAAACAATTTACTAAAAAAAAAAAAAAGAAAGAAAGAAAAGAAAAGAAAATCATTAGCTGTGGCCAAATTCGAATTCCTTCTACAGCCTGTGTGTTCAAGGGCAGAAAGGGCCGGCGAGCGGAGCTGGGGGCGGGGGAGGGGGCAGCGGCTGTGAAAGTTTAGGAAATTGACAGACTGAGAGGTGAATGGGGGGACAGGCACCAGGACCTGGCTGGAGGGAATTGGAAGACAAAAGTGCATCCTTCTCACCCTGCCTGGCTGGAGGGAATCCTGAGGGAGGCAGTTTGTTTCACCCAGGGAAACCCTAAAGAATTATTTTTGCCCCTTCAATGTCGACTGCAATATTATTTCGCATTTGCGTGTATCTGTGGTTTTAATCCCCTTCGTCTCCGCTAATCTCGAAGTGGATTATTAATGGGGAAGACAGACAGGGAAGGAGCGATTCATTTGCAGGACTTATTTTGCTGTGCGAGCAGCCGAAAGCCAGCAGCCCCCAGTCCTCTCTCCACTTTTCCTTGCGTCCTGCGTCCCTGCATCCCGCGGATCCCACGGTCCCCATTGTCCCCGACCTGGCCCTCACATGGAGGGAGTGTTCGGAACAGATTTATATTCCGGCTTCCTTCGATTCCACCGCTTCTGCGGTGGTGGGAACTCTCTCGGCCAAATGCCTGGGGAGGGGCGTGCCAGGCAGGGGCGGGGGACAACCAGCCGCGCGCTCAGCCCTCGCGGAGACCCTTCCTGTGCCACCGCACAAACACACATCCACCTTGACGGAACCTTGAAGGTAGCTGTTTTACCCCAAATCAAATACTTGCACGTCGGAATTCCCAGTGCTAAATGTTGGGGACTGCCTCCTGCCACTTGAACGATTACTGAGCCCAGGGTAATCAGATGATTAGGTGTTTTTAATGGAAATACTTGAGTCTTGTTTTTTTTTTTTCAAGTCAGATCCTAAGTAACCTGACATTCAATATACATAATAAAGACAAGTGTTTTGTTAGCTATGGGATAGGATCCTGTGACCTGAGGTTATGCCTGTGAGTGTGGGTCTGGGCTGTAAGCCTCCAAAGACTACCTGGGATCCTGGAGAGGGGTCTTGCCTGGAGTGACTCCATGCTTCGTGCTTCTTCTTCCTTGGGAATGGGAATAGGGCGGCTGAAAAGCAAACTTCTAGAGAAAGCTGGACTCAAATTTTTTAAATTAAAAAAAAAAAAGAAAGAAAAAAGAGGAAGGAGGAAGACAAAAAAAAAGACATGAACAGTGGTGCTAAATCTCAGAGGAAGAACTTCTTGATAAGTCATACATATATTTAGTATAGATACATAATAGTGAAAGAAATATAAAATTAAGAATGTGTCTAACCCATATTGGAAGTCTTTGATTTTCTTTATCAATAAGTGTTAGACGGAAGATCCTGAATCCTCCTCTTCTATAGCTACTTTTTCTATGATGGGAATGGGAGGGAGAGGTTAATTTATCCAGCTATTTTCATTGTAATAAATACTTAAATTAGGAAAGAGATGAGTTTGTAACCAACTGTGAAAATGTACTTTCTTGCATCCCAGAACAAGATCTAGCTGTGGTCATGCTGGGTGGCTATTAACCCCCCCCCAAAAAAATAAACATACTAAATACAAAGACATGTACCTCTGGGAGTGTAGATGTGGCAACCCATGTGGTGGCTTTTCCCTCCTTTGAGTGCATATGCCAGTGAGTCTTGCATTCAAAGTCTTGCTTTAGGCACACATTCAAAGCACAGTTCAAAGCAGTTTATCTTAATATAAGTAAAAGTCTAGTGTTGGATCAGGGTATTATTTGTTTCAGATTTCATCAGACTGGAAACAGGGGGTTGTAACATATCTATCCATTTTAAAGCAGAAAAATTGGTGTGAGGCAGCTCTTTGGTCCTCTTCACACCTCCACCTTTACCTTTCCAAGGAAGCCCAAAGGCTGTGGGACTGGAAGTTTATTTGTGCTCTGAGGTTCTCAAGCACTTTCACTCAAAAAAAAAAAAAAAAGAAAGAAAGAAAGAAAGGAAAAAAAAAAAAAGCCTTACAGTTCTTTAAGAAATTGAGCCTGGAACCATCCGAGGCTAAGAGATTTCTTCCTTTTCCGATAAATGCCTGTGCTCAGCATCCTCAAATTTGGCTGTCTTTATTTACTTCTATATTAGTTCCAATTATGTGCAGTGTAAACCAGCTTTTTGATTAACAAAACAGCAGAGCATTGGTTAAGAACACTTAAACTTCAAAAAAATTCCCCTGGGAAGTGGGCTCTGAATTGGTTAATAATGTGCAGTACTTGCTAAATTGCTGACTTCCAGATGTGGAAAATATCTTTCTTGTTTAGGACCTATGTAACCTGATTGGATTACGACAGAAGCGTCACGTTGGAAGCTTTTGAGTGATTATTTAATTAACCATACAGTAGAAAGCTGTATTCTCCAGGAAATCCCTTCCATATTTGCATAACCAATCCCTTCAGAGCAAAGGTGGAGTCTTTTCTTTTTAATTTTACTTTAATTGCAATATCAAAAAATATATACTCCAAAACTTAGACCCCATGCCGTTTAATATCATGCTCTTCCTTCCCTGCTAAGTTTCTCTATGGCCTTTCTCCTTTTTCTCCCTGCCTCCCTCTGCACACTCCCTCACTTTGTAGTGAGGTCTCCCTTAGATGTAGAGAGATTCAGAGATCGGTCAAGCGAGCGTTCTATGTTAATTTACTTAGAGACCCTTTATTAAAATGCCAAACTACTTTTTAATATTGGGATCCAATCCAGAAATTCATCACACACACACACATCCTAACACACATGCCCTAAGATGCAGCTCATATGCAGCAGTATTTTTTTTTTTCTTCTGGCTCTGGCATCTAAAAAGAAAAAAAAAAAAAATTAAGAGAAAGGGCAAAGAATTTAGTTCCAGAAGCCGTGCTGAGACATCCACACAACTTGATGTGCATCTCAAATCTGGTCATTAGAGATATCTGTGTAAGAAGAGGCGATCTGGATGGAGGACCTGGGATCTTTCCCTTTAACTTTCGCCCCTTGGAGTTCTCCAGTTCTGTGAATGGTGTGCACCGTTTTCCGCCCTGTACTCTGTAGGATTTAGTGATGAGGATAATGATGCCAAAGGCTTGACGGGGGAGGGGGGGCGTGGAGAAAGGAGGGAGGGAGGGAGCCGCCGAAAGGGAGGGAGAGAGAGGAAGGGAGGGAGGTGGAATTTCATTTCTTCCACTAAAGCGTTTGCGGAGACTTCAAGGTATAATCTATCCCAGATCCTTTCCCAGAGAGAAACTTGGCGATCACGTTTTCACATGATGCTCACGCTCAGGGCGCTTCAATTATCCCTCCCCACAAAGATAGGTGGCGCGTGTTTCAGGGTCTCTCCTCTCTCTCCTACAGAAAAGAAAAAGAAAAAAATGTCATTAGAAGAGGCGTAACACGTCAGTCCGTCCCCAGGTTTGTGTTTCCTGGAGTGGCCGAAAGAGATCAGTTCTAACCTGCTCCGCAGGAATAACGGTCCTGCCTCCCGACACTCTTGGCGAGGTTTTTGTACAGTTTGCTCCGGGAGCTGTTTCTTCGCTTCCACCTTTTTCTCCCCCACACTTCGCGGCTTCTTCATGCTTTTTCTTCTCACCATTTCTGGCCAAAACTACAAACAAGACTTCGCAGGTAGGTTTTTTTCTTCCCTTTTCTCTCTTTTTATCCCTTTTCGGTGTGCTCGTCCCCCATCCTCCTTTTCTAATTTTCTCATTTTGAGTGGGGATGTGAGTCTGAAGTGAGAAGGGGTGTCCGTGGGCAGGAATTTCAGGTGGGTTTAGCTCCTTTATGGCAAGCTTTTCCCAAGAGTAGCTTCTTCGCTTTCTCTCGCAGCCTCGCTCTGTCTCCTTCCTTTTCTCTCCTTTTTTCCTCCTCCAAATAATTTGCACTGTACCTGTCCATTCAGGTAACTAAAGGTGCCTCTTGCTACCCAGCCTAGGAAAAGTTTTATCGAGAACTATATGGCTGGAATAAAAACTCATCAAGGGGAGAGCTCCTGCTCTATTTTCGCATCTACTTTCTATTCATTATATTCAACAATTAGAACTTGGCAAATACCTGTTAATAATTACAAAACTTGGTCAGTACAGACCTACCAAATTCGGGGGGCAAGTCTTTCTCTTAGACATGGCAGTCCATGCTCTCCCACCGGAGAAGGCTGTTTTCTAAGCAGAAAGTTGCTTGTTTTTGTCTGCTTAGCGAGTTTCATTTCTTTATTTCATTCTTTGTGTGTGTATGTGTGTGAAGTAACACCTCACTTCTGTGATTATAAATAAAGAAGTGAAAGTCCTCATGGAACTTGAGTCGTTTACCAAGTGGAGGGGGGGTCACTACAGCTGGGAAGAAAACTGCTGTCAGGATATTAGGATTTTAAATTAGGAAAACTTTTGAAATTGTATTTTAAATGGCTAAGTAATATAGACATGGGCTTAATAGGAGACACATACACACACACTTCCCATTCCATACTTTGGCACTGAAAAGTCGAGAGAGAGATATCAGGAGTTCCCAGGAACAGTGATGAGCCCGGCTAACATGAATGTGTTTATCTCCCACCTACTTATATATTTTACATTCTCTCCCTGTAATGATGAGGGCAAGATTACTAACTCCAGAGTTAGGAATAACAGGCAAAGATAAAGTTTACAGCACAAATGCCCTGTCTCTCCCTCGCACACACATGCTCATAAAACTAGCAACTTACTTTATTAAACATGTATTTATATGCAATCGTGTGTAGGTCTCAGCATGAATACAGACAGGCCAGCTGTTTCATCCCAGACATTTGTGTGACCATTTATTTATTTCAGAATTTTCCCCAACAATTTCAGATCAATACGACAGGCAAGAATTGATAAAAAAAAATGTGTCAAACAAATTAAAAGTCTCCTACTATATATGCCTAGGTAAATTTAAGGTGCTTTCTAAAACATCCACTTCCCCTTCTCTGCCCCCACCCCCACTTCACCCCTCTGAGCAAATGTGTGGAAACTGATACTCACTTTCCAGGTTTTCTGCAAAGCTTCTAACACAGGAGACAATAGGTGCGGGGCGTGGGGACTGAGTGTGCTTGGCAGAGAAAGGGTTAATGGCCCTTGTGTTACAGTTTGCATCTGTTACATCTTTTATAGCCCCCTGTTTAAACTAATCCTCGAGGCACAGCATCTTCCCAACCTCCACCGAGTTTCGGGATTCTCCTCCTCTCCTGCCTGCCTCCGAGGTTCCCCTACTCCAAGTTTTGACAGTTTCAGCTGAAAAAATGCAGCGCCTCTCTCGATTTTTAGGTACAAAAGTTTCGAAGCCAGAAAGGATAGGATCATTTCAGTAGAGCTTAAAAGTATTGGCCGTAGTGGTTAGACTTTCTCTTTCCTTTCTTGAGGGGGGGGGGAAGAAAAAAGGAAAAAAAAAATTTTTTTTTCTACTGGAACTATTTAAGGGAACCGGTGTGGGGGAGCATGTGTGTGAGTGAGGTGGGGGGGGGGAAATACTTAAGTAAATATTGTCAAAGTGGGGGGGGGGGGGGGGGGGAGGTGGGGGCGAAGGGACAGTGTCCAAAGAGGCTTATAATTATATTTCTTATGGCGGCGTTAAAACGGGAAATCTTAATTTGGGGGCGGGGGGTGGGGGGAGGCAGAGACAGCGCCTCGATAAACTCCGAACGGGGAGGGGAGGGGGCACGGGCGAGTGGGCTTCCTATAATTACTATTATCAATTTGCCCGAGTGTGCTTCATCCAGGGGCTGTTTCGCGTTGTTTGTTTGTTTGTTTCCTCTGGGAAATGGTTGGGTGGGGGGCTGGCGGTGGGGGGGTTGCGGTGCGGCGGGAGTGTGAGAAAAGATGAGAGCGAAAGAAAGCCTCGCCTCACCCCAAGTTCCCGAGCCGGGCTGAGGACTTTTCGGAGGAAAGGGTCCGCCTAGCCCTGAGTCAAGCAGTCTCGCTGTACCGCCGTGTGCATTCCCTCATACGGTCAGGAGTTATGACTCATTTGAAGATGTAATTCTTGTCTCTGATCCCCTCGCGGGTGCAACACACCAAACAGTAACAAACACAAAGCGCCTCGGGGCCAAGGCAGGGGCGGGGGGCGGGGAGGGGGCCGCCGAAGTTTCGCTTTGGCGCTGGGGGCGCGGATGGGTGCTCGCCGGGGCCCTGGCCCGGCTCCCTGGGGCGGCCCGCGCGCGCTTCAATGGGCGCGGGCGATGCCCACATTGTCGCTGTGTTTGGTTGCTAGATCGAGCCTGCGTGCTGCCGAAGCAGGGCGCCGAGTCCATGCGAACTGCCATCTGATCCGCTCTTATCAATGAAGCAGCCGATCATGGCGGATGGCCCCCGGTGCAAGAGGCGCAAACAAGCCAATCCCAGGAGGAAAAACGGTAAGAAGCGGCCCGAACCAAACTTTTCCGGGCCACTCCGCGGCTCCAGACCCGGGGAGCAGGAGGGGAGAGGGGAAAAGGAACCGAGGCGGCGGCGGCGGTGGCGGCGCCGGGGCTCGCGGGCGAGCCTCCCTCCGCGGCCGGCGCCGGAGCCCGGCGCGCGCGGCGGCCGGACCGGGGGGGAGTTGGGGAAGTGCCGGGCAAAGTGAGCGTCGGGCGCCCGGGGGCTCCGGGCGCGGGGGTCCGGCGGGGGCCCCGCGCCCCCAGCCCCGCCGCCTCCTCGCGCCCCCACCTCCGCCCTCCCTGCGCCTCCGCCTCCGCCTCCCGCTCCGCTCGCGCCCGGCCCGCCGGGGCTCCGGCCGGGCTCCGGGCGCGTCCGGCGAGGGCAGGGCGGGGGCCCGGGCGCCAGGTCCGGCAGGATCCCGGGCGGGGGCGGGGGTGGCAGAGGGACTGCGAGGGCGGGAGAGGGGACTCGGGGCTGTGCCTCAGCAAGGCTTAAAGTTTCTTGCCGGAGTCTCCCGGCCGCCTCTCCGTGCGCCAAGTAACGGTCCGCGGGCAGCGGGGCCCGGCCCAGCGCTCCCGGACCCGGAGGTGGGAGGGACTCGGCCGGCCCCGCGCGGGGTCCGGCGGGGTCGGTGCGGGCGCGGGGACCAGTGACTCCTCTCCGGCAGGCTCTGGCCCCCACGCTGGGGACCGGAGGAGTCGCAGGGCGCAGCGAGACTTTTTCCGGGCAGTTTCTACATGGTCAGGAGGAGCCCGTTATCCAGGCTGAGTCAGGAAGGAGGAAGGAGACGGGGGTACGAGGGGGACACACAGACCAGAGCTGGAAGATTACAGGGCAGGGTGACAGTTTAGTAGGTCCATCTTGGAGAGAGGCAGAGAAGGGACGAGGGGAGAGTGAGAAACGGAGAGGAAGAGAGCGAGAGAGGGGACCCCTTAGGTATTACCCCAAACAAAATCGTGGGAATAAAAGAGAAAAGTGATTGGCAAGAGCGCGGAAGGCGCCTGGGGGAGGGGAGAGGGCTGGGGACGAGCGAGGGTGCCGGGGGGGAGCTGACGGAGGACAACTGAGTCTAAAAAGAAAAAAAACCAACCCCCAAAACAAACAAGCGAACAAGCTCCAGCCCAGACTCGGAAAGGAAACTTCTCGCTCCCCTCGCTCTCAGCCCAAGCACCCGGCGGCGCGGGGCCGCGTAGACGCTCCCGAGCCAGGCGCGGAGACGCAGCGCCGGCCCGGCCTCCCGGCCTCCCGCAACCCCAGCCCGCGCCTCGCTGGGACCGCCGGGCCCACTTGGAGCAACTTTCCTCTAGAGAAGACAATTGTGCGCGCCCCCGGCCTGCACCAGAGCTGCGCAGCGGGGAGGGGGCGGCTGGGGGCGCAGTGTGGGGTGCTGGAAGGCGAAAAACACAAAGACGAGAGAATTTTGATTAGAGACGAATGATGCTTCCATCTCTCTCTCTCTCTCTCTCTCTCTCTCTCTCTCTCTCTCTCTCTCGTGTGTGTGTGTGTGTGTGTGTGTGTGTGTGTGTGTGTGTCTTTTGCTTGTTGTGGTGGAGGTGTCGAGCCATATGGGGGAGTGATAGAGAAATTTTAGTCAGAAACTGTTCCTTACGTTATCCTGCCTTTCCCCTTTGTGCTGTCTTTGATCTATTTGCTTGGCTTAGTATTACAGAAAAACAAGTACAATAATATATTCCGAGCTGCTTCCCCAAGATTCAGTACAGGCTGCCTCTTTTTAAGTCTCTCTCTCTCTCTCTCTCTCTGCCCCGTCTTTTCTCCCTCTTCTTCTCCCCCCCCCACACACACTCCCTCTCTTAATTTAATTTTTTTTCACTCTGGTGTCTGGCATTATTTAAGGTGGTCCTTACACAGGAGACCTCCCCTTCCCCATCTCTGGGTAATTTAGTAGACACTAAAATTACACCTAATGTCCCTCTCTCCTATCCTGTGTTTCCTCTGTTCCTTTTATTAAATGTTGGTTATTGATTTTCTAAAATCAATGTCTGTTGTGGGGCTTTTTCCCCCCTCTTACAAGTATCTAGAGCACATTGCTGATCAACTGGATAACAAAAGCTTTGTGTCAAGGAGGTTTTTTTTTTTTTTCTTATGTTAAACAGTCATTTTTTGAGAGAAAAAAGAATGAGATTAATAACAAGACTGCCAGAAGTGTTCTTTTGCAGGGAAGACTATTTAGAGTGTTTGTCTCCTCTTACCTTCCTTCCTCCTTCCACCCCCTTCGGGATTTTGCCACCGATGATGACCAGCCTGGCCACGGCAGTGAGGTCAGGCCAGATCCCAGGTCTAGGGAAATAGAGGGATCCCAGCTTCCTGGGAACCCCTAGAGGGGGGCTGGCGGAGAGGGAGGCCCCTGAGGGGCTTCGCAGCTGGCGGTGGAGTGCCAGGGAGGTGCGCAATCAGGGACCCTGCAACCATTTCCCCTCCACCCAGCCACTAACTTGGGAGAAACCTCCACACTCCAAAGTGGAAAGTTGAATTGCACGTTTTAAAGTGTTTAGCCCAAACCCTGCACACTTAACATCAAGCCTATCTATTGCTTACAGCTTCTGTAACTTTGACTGTTGCCTGTCTCTTTTTCCAAATAATCTTTGAGAAAACATGCTGTATATTGGTTACTTGTGTTTTTCATTGGGTTTAATCGGACTGAGAAGCAGGTAGAAGAGACCCCCACCCCCGGCTTTTCCATTTTCTTTCTCATCAAACACATATCCAATGCCTTTCCCTTTGGGAATTGCTAGGATTTATCTGAACTGAGTGGATTTTTCTTCTTTCCTGGATTCATGGAAAAGATGTCACTTTTGAGCTTGTGTCTTTGCTGATAACACTAAATATGATGATGCTTATCAAAATCATATAGAAATTCCTGGAAAGGAATAATGGCAATAATAATCATAGAAGTAGAAGCTGCAAAGGAAAAAAAAGAGAGATGGTCATCCAGGAACCTAGAATGGCACTTTATATAATTTTAATGAAGTCAACAGTGTATATATAGACTAAGGCGACAAGGAGATAAAACGTACAAAGCAGTGTGTGTGTTTGAAAGGCTGGTCAAGAATGTGGGTTAGAAGACAATGCTGTGTATACAATTATTAAAAATCAAAGAAGAAGGAGGTAATTCGAGGAAAATAAATGTACAAAGAGAGAAACAAGAATCTCAAATCTCACCTTCCAGATTCTCAGGCTAACAAGATGCCTGGCAAAGGCAGTGCCAGGGCCAAGTTAACCCATAGCAGGCAGGCAGTCTCCTTTCCCCCACATGGAAGGGATGAAATCTCTTCCCAGAAAATAAGATATGCAGGAGGAAAAGGGGTAGTGGGGTGAGGGGGAAAGAGGCAAAAAGCGAGTTGTTGCCCGCAGACAAGAATGTGTGTCGGTTTCAAGAAAGTTCAGTCAGATGATCCTCAGTCGCCTGACTCACTTTGTAACACTTTCACTGAAGCTGGAGAGGAGGGGGAAACCCAGCCCCCCTGTTTCATTCCCCTGATTATACCCCACTATCTCTACACAGCCTTGGAGTCAGAAATGAGCACTCGGAGCGCGAGATGCCCTGCTGCTGCCTGCCACCGGCACGGCCCCGTTTGTAACTTGCAAAGTTTGTTGCTTTTGCCCATGATTGGGGCAGCAGTTCCCGGGATGCTCCTGCCTCCCTCCTGCCTCCCACGGAGCCGGGGAGAGGGGCCTGCCTCCCCAGCCCGCCGCCTCCCCGCACCGGCCTCTGAACAACCGCACAGACACATGCACGTTGTCACAAAAATCAAATCCGGAAACTGCTTGTTTCAGAGAAGGGAATGAAGTTGTCTTTCAAAGGAAAACTGAATTAGGAGGAGTGGGGGGAAGGAAATGGAAGGAGGAAAGAAAAGTTAAATTTCATTTTTCTGCAAAGTTTCCGCTAAAGGGTTGGGGACTGTGTGAGGCAGAGGGGGAGCTTTCTACAAATGCCTCTGCTCTCTGGTTTGCAGTGGGAAAGAAAAGGGATCAAGTTGAATGTTCTCAGGGCTTTGGATCCGAGAGTAGAAACAATCAGATGAGCAGAAATGATCACCCTTGTTTAAAATAAGTCCTCACTCCTTTTTACTACTTCCTTAAAGGGAGTGGAGGTGCTGGTAGTGGTGGTCAGAGGCTATGAGGGTCGGAGAAGTTGCTCCCAAACAGTGATGCTTAAAAGAAAAGAAAAGGATGTACAATCAACCCCTTCCTCAGGAGATGACTCCCAGCTCTGCTCCCTGAGAGGTGAAGTTGGGATGGGGCAACCGAGAGTCAGAGCCCTTCAATATGCACTGAGGCAGGGAAGTTTCCTTCCGATCACAGTCGTCAGTTCAGACTTGGTTATCTTTGCAAGGATGGAAATCTTTGGCAAGAAGCTTTCTTCGTAAAGTTGATGGGCTTATAGGGAGCCTGTTTTGCTGACTCTCAGAGCACTCAGGCAGCTTGTGTGGCAGGTACCAGTTCTCAAAGATATCCATCTCCATCCTTTTCTCTCTGTGGAGATCTTCTGCAAGTTATGTCAAGCTGCACACACACAAGGCTGGGAGCTATGTATCTAGACTGATCTATTTGTTTTATTTCGGTTTGGAAAAACTAAGTCAATTGGGGTAAAGACATGCTTTTCTTCATAGCACAGCCAGTAGCCTGGTGGCGTCCATAGCATCATGGTCCACCAGGGGTAAGGGTAGGCTAAGAATTTTAAACTTTACATTGTTTATCTGTTGCCAAATGATAATTAATTCAGGTCTTTAAACATTTGTTTTCTAATATGGATAAAACCAGGATTAAAGTTCCCTGCTAAACTGCTATGTCATGGGTTTCAGATGCTTCCTTCTTTCTTTCTTAATGTGCTTAAAGTAAAGAAAATTCCAAGAGGTTATTAAAGACCCTAATGCAATATTAAGAATATTTCCTGGGAAAAATGTGTGTCTACCCTGAAGGTAGGAAAGGAGGGCGTTGCTAGCTCTCTAGCAGCGCCGCGTTTATTCTAAGATGT